GGAATTAGTAATTACACGCATAAATATATATAGATAATGCTGATTAAGTTTATGTAAACACCTTTGAGGTTGCTCGAAACGGGAAATTTGTGTGATAAGAAAATCTGGTCGCTTTGCACCTGATATATGAGTGAACTTTCGCAAGTTCAATCTAGGTGAACTCAACAACACGCTTTTCATTTTAGCATCGCATATCCACCATTGTTGTACGTCGATGATTATTCCAATGGCAACATCTATTTTGGTTTGTATATTATATGAGGAATTCAAGGTGCAAATTTATCATACAAAGTACAAATACTTGTTCAATTTTGGTCTAAAGATGGAACCCGAGTGACGCCTCGTGAACATTTCTTTCGAGTAGCTGTAAGTTGCACAGGCGATCGCCAGTTAGCTGCAAATTATCAAACATCGGTTATAAGGCGAACGCCAAACGTACAATAACGTTTGAAAATAGCTAGATTCTCAGTAAGTTGGTTAACCCTTAGTCATTACAGGAGAATCCACATAAACCTGCATCATATTGCGGCGAAGTTACACGTGTCTGCTCGCCCTGATTGTGAGCTCAAAAGTGTTAATTTGTATTTGTGAAGAAACTCGTCACGTTGGCATCAAGGATGAAAAAGCCACACATGATCTAATGCATTCGACCTTTTGCCGTTCATACGGGTTCAGAGAAATTAGTATCAGTTTGAAGAGAGTAAATCTTCCTACTGACCACTAAATGGTTGCACACCTTGAGTGTAAAGTGGGTTGATTAAAATAAGCTAGAGCAAGGTTAATTAGAAAATAGTTGAAAGTGAGCAATTTTTTCGGCTGCCTGGAATGCTGATTTGCGATAAGGGGTAACATTTTCAGGGGAAATAAATCGCAAATATATTTGTCGCGTACGGGGTGAGGCACAAGTCATTTAACTCTTCATTTGGTTTGTACAAATCTTGGCGCTTTGTGATAGCTTACCTGGTAGTATTTTGCAGTTCCACGTTGGAGGCACATGACAATGCACTTTTGCCAATATGAAGCAGCAAATTTAAAGCAAGGGCACCTAGGAGTAACCGAAACATTAAATTATGAAAACAGTCCAGTTGATGGTTCAAAAAGCCTTACAGGAAACCGGCATCTCTTTCATGCTTGCAGACCTTCAATTAGTCAAAAGTGTGCAACCCAAAAGATTTGGTAAAAATAGATTCCTAGGTTGAGAAAGAACTGTAATTTTGCTTGAAACGCCCAACGACATATCGATTTCAAAATATGTGCCTTGTGACATTTAGACGTATCCTGAAAACTTTAAAAATTTCGACGAACATGCCATAGAAATATTTTCCTCTCGACTAAACACCCAATTATCTAGTAATCCAAAGAGCTCAGGCAAATTTGCAGCTACATTCACAAAGGGCGACATAGAGTTAAAGGTGTTTCAAATCAATATGGCTAACGATGCTTGGGTCATGCTTCAAATTCACGTGTTTTGCCACATCTGCAGACGGTACGCACCCTTTCGATTCCCGTATTTATCAACATTGGGTCGTCTAGAGCAATATATTATTTTCGCTTTTTGAAACCATGGGTTTTAAGTTAGTAGCAAATACATATCAAAGACCAACATATGTGCTTATCCCCGATTACCATCAAGGAGAAAAATAAATTAAGCCAGATTTAAGAATGCGTTCTGATGATGACGCATATCCAGCTTCTTGTTACGCGCCACATGTGTGGGTGCAGGTAAACAACTAAAATGAGGCTAAAGGGACCGCGTCGACCTTGTTTACAAGAAGCTTGCGCCGCGTGCACACTTAGAAAACACATCTAGCGCCTGCGCTTTGATTGCGGTTTTGTGGAAGGCTAAAGTGAAGCAGAATAACTGTGGGGGCGCATAATTTAGCAGTGGAGTTACACCAGCAACCGCGCCGTTTAACGTGACTATGTTTGTGTTATCCATAACAGCGTGCTAGTCTTGTCCTCTCATCAGGCCTGTGAAAAAATATCTGCTTGGACAGTTTATTCACAGCTGGGCTACCTAGGAATGAAATTTCCAACTTATGCAGCAGTGAATTCGTCCGGATATGTGTTCCTGTTTACCAATGGGCAATAACGGTCGCCATTATAGTTAACAGCTATTTTAAAGCTGATGATTAACACCTTCGGCCCATCACCTTTGAAAGGTTTGCACGGCTGGCATCCTTTGCTTGCCAGGCAACCGTCATTATCGGTCATCAAATAAAACACATAACTCTACTCTGCTGTTCTGTGCATGTGTTGGATTTTAGGTTTAGATATGGTTTGATGAACATGTTTGGTGCAGATTTTGGTATTTCTCAATGCCGTGCTCTCCTAAGTGTAGGTAATGGATGAAAAAAATTTAGAATAGCGTACAGCTGGGAGAGGAGCGACATGCAGTCTCAGAATTTTGATATATGGTATATCTGAAAACGGAACATTTTGATCATGACAAAGCGTTTGCAAATTTCGGATTTCCATTAAATGCTAATTGCAGTCCAGACCACCAAATATAACATCACTCCCTACCATAGTATATTTTTTATACTTTTTTGTACGATCTGTGTTTAATCAATAAGAGTAACAAAGTTCACCTGTTATTTGTTAAAAAAAAACCGGAATGCGTGCTTGGTTTGCGGTTACCAAATATAACATCAGCCCCTACCATAGTATATTTTTTATACTTTTTTGTACGATCTGTGTTTAATCAATAAGAGTAACAGAGTTCACCTGTTATTTGAAAAAAAAACCGGAATGCGTGCTTGCGTTTGCGGTTTTGGCATAAACAGTTCGTCCATACCAAGGGCAAGCTCCGCGGCTGTGTGCAAGAGAAAAAAGTTTTAATTCCGTCAAAAATACCCTCTCCGATCAGTAATCTACGGGCATTTTTTCGTCACAGCTGCGTCGAGCTTGAGCTGGGAAAAGCAGAAAGCCCAAATTAATTAAAGTGTATTATGTGCTTTGTGTTTGAGCGTGTCAATCTACATATTGTTACGCGTATGCGGCGTGTTCGGCCAAATATGCTCAGAGTTCTAACCATCGCCAACTATCTTTACACTAGTATGCTAACAGGCCAAACGTTGTCGTAACTAGTGATATCCGTCCCGCTATTCACTGGTTGCCCCATCTATTTCAAGCTTCTAAACCTAACCTGGAATCTATTAAACAACCTCATTCGTAAGTTTACGGACATAGAGTGAACGATTAAAAACCCAAAAACCCATTACGGTGTAGCAGCCTCACTAATCACAATGACCAAATTTTGAGGCTGAGGGCAATAGTTACTTTGTTGTTTCTGGTTATTTGTTACGCAAAACGTGTCGGCCTAACGTGGCTCATTTAGAAGCACACCGAAGGGCTAGATAAACATATTAAAAATGCTCTATTACTCTAATCAACTTCAAAGGGATTTTTGAGGCTTCAAATTGCGTGGGATTGTTTGTAACAAAAAACTCAGGACTTGTTCCGTCATCGATATTTTTCGGCGAACTCACAAAATATTTTAATCGCATGGAAGGCTATAAGTCAGAACCAAGTAGATAATCATAAAAACGGTTCAGCGGGTCGCCAGAGTACTGACATGCTTGACAGTCAGGTAAATCAACCGTCAAAACCTAGACGACTACTGAACCTTTGTCTGAGCAGTAGGGCATGTGAGTCACATCAGCCATGCTTCTCCGCCCTTGCCTGGTAAGACGTGAAAATTCATGCCCCGACCATGCGCTAGTAAACCAGTCATTACACCACCGACCCGCACGTGAGATCAGTAGAATAAAAGAGACTTCATTCAGGTTCAATGCTTTTCTCGATCTATGAGAACTCCATAAAAAGCGGTGTCAGGTAGATGAGACAGGTGCGTATCCATGGGAGGTAGAATCAAGAAACACACTTCCAAAATGGTGTATATTATTTGGAAACATGCCGAACCCATTAGCGCTCAAACGGGAACGCTCATGTTGTTGGGCTCATTTGTTGCTACAGAATATGTACAGTTTTTTTCAAGTAGCAAAAAATTTGCAGAACCGTTGACGCTTTAATTAGAAGGTTTCTTGTGCCAGGACCCCTTCTACCTAGAGTCATGATTTTTGTATCTGCCTTCAGATGCGATTTTAAGAGTGGAATGCGTCGTCAAATAAGCAGCAGTAAATACCGCGAGTATACAAAAGAAACACGAACAAATTGTTGGGTGTGTACGTGTGAAATGAGTGCCAGGGCTCGCGCATATCATATCATTTCATATCAGCTATAACCAATTGTTGTCGCCGTCGCCGTTTTCAATATTTCTTCCGTCCAGAAATACGGCTACAACCTTCCGTAGCACAGGCTATTGGCCTTAATTATGATTGAAAGGCCCTCATCTTTAGAATTTGGTCTTGACCGCCAGCTAGCCATGTGGTCTTCCCTCTTTTGCACGTGCCGCATCGTGACGTCTTACAGCTGAACCCGGAGTGCCAGCGCGCCAGCTGGTTCACTTCAAGGGTTTGTGATCTGTTTCAACATGAATTGTTTTCCAAGTATCCACTCATGCTGGAAACACATGATGGCTAAACATTTTTACTCAATAGTTGAGTTTTTCTCCTCAGCAGTAGTCAGGATATGACTAGCATATTCGATAACCCCATTCCACTTGTTTAGAACGGCGCTGACACCGCGATCGCAAGCGCCTGTTGCAAAAGTAAGTAGCAGCTTGAGCGTCATTTGCTAATCCAGCGTCAGCGATTTAACAAGTTCCAAAGCCTCGTGTGTCTCCCTGATCCATTGTAACATCCGATTTCGCCTAAGCAAGTCATAGAGTGGAGCGGCAGTCGTGTTGAAATCCTTGAAACCTGGCTGTATTATGCAGCTTGTTCACGAAACTGCCGTATAAACCGCTGTGAATTGGGAACAGCACAGTCCCTTATCTTTACCAATTTCTCTAGCAGTGGCCCAACCTCTCCGTGACCCAGTTTCTGCCTCAGTAATGCCACCAAATTCCGAGCAAGCTGTGACATGGCCTCACTTACCCGTAATCCAGCCCCCGGATGCTCTACAACACGGGCTTCAGGTGAACCGCGAGCTCCTGTTCCGAATTGCCGCACCCAACGATATCTTCTCCGTACACGGTGACATTGTGGAATCCCTTCGTCAAACGGACCATCAAGCGCCGGTGCGCCAGTCAACCCAAACGCCATCCTTTCCAACTGGTACTTGGTGTCCCGAACCGTGAACGCCGTTTTGTTCCGGCCGTCCGCCCTTATAGATAGTTGCCAATATCCGGGGCGCAATCGAACACCGAAAACCGTAGGAATTGCCGCGGAAATCGAACGTCTCCACAACCGAAGTGACAGCTACTACTCAAATTGCGGACAGTTCGTTCAAATACTGGAACTCCACGCAAAACCGGAATTTTCCGTTTGCTCTCCTTACAAGCAAAAACGGATGTCTGCACTGTTGAGTTCCTCAATTAGGCCATTTTAAAACATCTCATGAGTTTGTTTACAGACCTCCTCCAGTGGATGGAGCGGTAGCAGGTGGGTGTCGTAATGTCGAACGCAGTTTGACAGTGCAAAATTCGCTTTCAATCCACGGGTAGAAGATAAACGAATATTCAGTGCCGGTGAACACTTTGAAATTTTCCCCGAACACGGACTGTACTGACGGCACGTCACAGGTGGGAAGCTTCCCAATATGTAGTTTGCTCATAACAGTGCAAGTGGGAACTTCTAGCCTGACAGTGCCAGACTTTGTCACAAGTTTTCCCTTTTTGGTCAACCACGAATTATGTGCGCTTTAGAAAATCTGCCCCGAATATTGTCTTCTGTGTCTGGGCTGATCGGCAACGCCTGCTGCACAAACTCCTCAGCTGGGCACCTTGGGTGCATCAACAGATTGTCAATTTTTAGGTCAATATCCACCCACCGCTTTCCCGGCTATCGCACACGTTTTGCATTCAGCTTAGCTCTCTCTCCGTCTCTGAGATACCCCTGCTCCTATATCAGTCAAGTACAGCTGCATCTTCCGTCTAACTCGATAACGGCCTTTCTAGTATCCTGCGTCATTGAGCTAATCGCAGCGCACCCGGCAAAATGGGAATAACTCAAAGTTTTGTTATGTGCAGGTGGTCGGGTACGAGAGTGTTTATTCTTCCGACTGCCAGACATGCCAAACTTGTAGCATCAACTCGTTCGAGCGTGCCTCCGCGAATCTGTCTTGATGGCTTCTGGCTATTCCGCGAGTGGGTCAGCTTTGTTCTTCAGGTTCTCCACTGACGGCGGGAGACGATGACGGGGATCTTAGTCTCATATTATACTTGGTAGCGATGCGGCCGATATTTGACGCCTGTTAACGGATGACAGTCGGTATCGAATATACGTAGGAAGAGGCACCAAAAATAGCGCTTCAGCCATAGTCGGGGTTATGCACACAGAGGCTAAATTGTGTGCTTGGACAAAAGTTAGGAATGCCAGTGGATTCCAAATTCAGAGGAAGTTTTACTCACACATTGTCACTTGAATTTTCCGGGAATCAGTGTCTCGAATACCGGGCCAAATGAAACATGGAACGGGATAAACCAAAGTTTACACGAGAAATCTGGCGAAGGAGCGATCCTAATAGGTTCTTGCCCACCTTCCACGTCGGTGCCTATTCACACCAGTTTCACTGGGCAAGCAATTTACCTGCTGAAATCTGACCGCGCGACTTTGGAAAAACATTGTAGGATGGAGTAATCCGACACAGAAAATTTCGGCAACTCTTTCAGCCTGAAATGAACTTACCGTGCAGTGGAAATCTTGGTATAATGTCGGTGTTCTTTACTAATGGCATTCCACTTCATACTAGATCAGCTGTGCGATATATTCGTAGAAATAACGGCCACACGACCTAGCAAATAATTTGGTATTCAAGCTGCACTGGAAGCTGGTAAATTAATGCAGAATTCAGAGGCCTAAATTATTGTATGAGAAGTTGGTGGTTCTCAGTAACAGTACCGAGCGGGCTTTCTTGTGTGATAAATAACGCGCGAACAGAGATACCTAGGAGGACAGCGTATTACATAGCTCTGGCATCGTGATGCTTATTCTGTCCGTCTGAATATGCTGGTGATTTAAATTGAATTGACAGGCAAAATCTGTCGCGTTTGGCGCAAATAATTGTAGCAGATACTGGCTGTGGTTTAACTGACGAACAGTCATTTAACAGGAAATCAGTCAAGAATAAGCCCAAAGTGTTGTATAATTTACGGCCGAACATAAATTTAGCGAAAGCCTTAAACCAGATTCCGTGACAGTAAATATCTTACTAGCGTTTGGATCCACTGTGCATTCCAAATGTATACAATAAGCTGACGTGGTTCGCAGAAACTCGCAGCACGCTAAGCGTATCAACGGAATACTTCGTAATCCACTGAAACGTAATATTGCGAGCATGCGTGTGCGCGAGTGATCCCTACTACCACTTGTAGGCAGCGAAGTGGGAGACGCAAGCGAAGTCAGCAGTGTGCATGTAAACTGCAACCACTTCTGTGAGTGAATTTCAATGGTAGAAAAAGTGACCTTATTAATCTTGGTTCCTCCCGGAAAGAACAAAGATTTTTCAAGAAGTATAAACGGCGACATCACTTCGTCGTCATGACCAACTGCAACTGTGTCTACAGTACATGCCCATCGTAACCTATATTCTGGAAGTCACGTGCAGCGCTATTTACTGGGCATTAGCAGCGCATGATGGCCTTCTCATTTGGCCGCCGAGAACGTTCTGTTGTCATAGCCTAATGTCGCCCTCAGGTGACCGGGCCTCCGGTGGGTACACCAGCGTTTCGGACATATGCGCCCTTAATTAGCATAAGCGCCGGAACAACCAGAGTAGGAAGTCACTTGGTTTTCGTTTTTTTATGGAAACCTTTGTTTATGAAGTTACGGTTTAACCCCGTGCACACTCTTGGCAAACTATGTGATCTACTGCAGTTTCGAGAGGTTATTGAACACATGTGCAGGTTGTCCTGTTTTTGTCAACAGATTATCTGTGTCCAATCCGAAGTGTCCATGGCGGGATTTTGCGACGCAGCGTTAAACGCAAGTGGAACTGGGTCTAACGAATGATGCGCTAAATAGGGTGAAAAAATCGGCACTTTCATCAGGCGAGCAGAAGATTCACCGAGTTCAATTTCTTATGCGCCTTTGAACACGCACACATGACTTCCAACCTAGCGACAATTTAATGGGTTCACCGTATGTGGTTGGGAACCTGCTCTCAGTGGACAGACTATTATTCCACTGGATGCGTGAAAGACATAGATGGCTTGTGTACTGACAACACTAAGCTTTCGCCGGAAATAATCTAGCTTTTATTCGTCAGCAATTTTAGCTAGTTAAAATTTACAAAACTTTGACAATTTTTTTACAGCCGCCGTCCGCGGAGCTACGGCAGCATGCGTACACCCATATTAATAACATTTCTGTTAAACGCTAAAAGAATACTGGGAGGCATTCGCTGGTCTATAAGTTTCGCTAGATCACGGGTATTATGGCTCCAGCTAACGGTCTACCAACCGATGGCTATTTATGAAGAACGGTTTAAAAGCAAGAACATATTCCGCGGACATACCGACCTTAGTTCTCATGCCCAAGATCACATTGTAGCACGCGGGATTGTTTGATCACTTTGTAGAAATGAACGTTTGCTGAACCAACTAACACATAAAAAGGAACATTCCAGTTTTACAAGCCGTCATCCAATTACTCTTGGGCTTATCTCCACAGAGTGGACTAGGCCCGTTCTCAAATCACGGCATGCCTGTCCCGCGGATACCACCCACTAATGGTGCTAGTCACCATACCACGAGGAATACATGGAGTATCGTCCTCTGACGGAAGCCATCACATTGGTTGAGGACGATTTAGCCCCCGACCACGCAGGTCAACCATCCGGGCCAGGGTTGACTGCTGGCCCAACACCAGGTGGGTTTTCGACGTAGTATACCTTGATAAAATGCGGTTAGCTGGCCTAGCGTCCTATGTACTCTCCAGGCTTGTGAGCACGTGGTTGAGACACAAACCTCGTTTCGGTCCACTACAGAGTTTCTGATTAATGGAAACCTCTGGAAAATATCTACTTTTTCTGCCGTCTTGATAATTCGGACCATGTGATGAGATGTGTGCCGGTTGTGTTTCAGACATGGACGACAAATACTGACGTGTTAACAAAATACACCAGGTATCATACGGCTTGATATTATTGAAAATTGCACGGTGTGAATTCGGGTCAGCAGGGAGCATTCTCAGCCCACATTTCCGATGTCATCTAATCTGGGATAAATATATAATGAGTATTTTTGTACGTCATACACTCAAACGAGCTGAACAGATTGATCAAACGCTCAAGCCGGTGGTCTGCAACGACAGTTTCATGAAAGATGGCCTGATCCTCTTGCTACCCGTCAAAGTGAGTGTACAGTTTTTGCCTAATAGTCAACCCTCGGACGACAAGAACCATATAATTCAGGCGGTTTGCGTCGCACATTACATCTAGGTTTGAGTCGCTTAATTTCATCGAAACGCCGCTGTTTTGCGTCTGAAAAATTACATGGATGTAACTGCCTAATTCAGATTACATCGTCTAATACACGGCCATTTATCGGAGTTTTCCAAGAAGCGAACTGATGATAACGGTAAACTGCCTTCAGTTCTTAGTGGAAGCCATAAGGGACCAGAAGTTTGTGACGTGTTCCAAGCGCTCAAAGTGGAAACGCAAGCACGTATAGACTGTCTTATTTGAGCGTAAGTGTAAACCAAGTAAGTAAACCAATTTTCGTAAGCTGCTCCAATTGACAATGATCATCTTATGGTTTCAGAAGCAATTGAGATTTCATTAAGACAGATTTTTTTAATTGCACGTTATAATCCGGACGGTTGTAGATTCCCAGTCATTGCCCAGGTAACAATCTACTTGTTTGAGTTGAAACATCCGCTTGAAAACAAGAAATATATAGGTGCCAACTGGTGGAAGATTCTGCATCCGCAGTTCCCTCCAATTATCACTTTCCTGAAGACATTTGCCACTTAATGATGAGTATTGCACGTGAGTACGCCTTGAAACTTTTTAGATCGGAGGGAATACTTTTATTTCCAGAATCGTGGTCCTACGATATTTTCCAACTGCATGGTCTTCTCTTACTTGGAATTGCGCCATAATGTTTCGCAAAAGTATGCGTATAACCGTTTCATCTACTGCTTGTTCAAGAGGTGTCCTAGGCGCGTCTATCCATGAACCGAAATTCTGAAGATCCTCGAACTTGAACCAAGTCTGCAATCTGACAACTGTGGATGACACCACACTGAATAAGAAGATTGATGCGGTCGGATGTTCAGAGTAACATTTCTGCGCGTTGCTTAGGATGAACGGGTGGATAAATCTTTAGAAATATTTTACTCCTAGCAGCTTGGAAAAACATTTTACGCGCGGGAATGCACTCTTTTGGACATTTTGGCGCCTAAGTTGGAGCTGAGTGAGCATGAAGTGACTCTCCATTTCGCTGTTGGGCAGTTGGGCATTTGGCAGCCAAATTACGGGATTTTCCTGAAAAAACAAAACAACAGTCTAAATTTTACTAATATTTTGACGGCGTTCTTAAAATAACGGCTTAACGTTGACCTGGTTACCGATCGTTCACAAACTAGGACGTGATAGAAATGAGGCTGTTAGCAGTCCACCTCCGAAAGAAGAGGCCATGATCACACCATTTTGACCGTTAGAAAAACTGATGCTGCAAGTGACAACACGACGTTGGCTATCAGGGGAAATCAGTCAAACTGCAGCGGGGGACACAATTCACCGTTGGCTGGGGCGCAATTCATGTTGTAAAGACCGCATGCGTGAAGCTTCTGAAGCTTAGACCAGCCTTCGAACTCAAATTGGGCAAGTAGGGGCAAAGTGCGCAAGGAGAAATTTTGTTGAGTCTAGGAGACCACATGAGAATCGGCGTCACCAAATGTAATTTGTTTGGGCAATGAAGGTTTGTTCACATTTTAGCAGCCTAGTTAGCGCAAAATTGCCCAGGAGTGTCTGGTGGGGATGGATGAACAAGAGACTTTGAGGTAACGCCAAATCGTTGATGGTTGATTTTAACAGTTAAACTGTGTGAATAATGCTGTACAACATGCCATTTTGCGGGATTGTAAACGCTTTGCATATAGGAAATTTGGGAATTATTTTGCACGTTTCCTTTTGACATTAAAATCTTCCCCACCAATTAAGCCTTCGACTGACTCACTCTTGTTGAACCGCCTTCCAGTGACCGTATTATTCAACTGCGCTATTCTTCAATCCCACGTATCTAACGCTAGCCAAAGGGCTTGGGTTGCGATTAGCTTAGTGACAACAGCTTTCATAAAAACCAAGATATGCTCCTCCGGATGGAAGCATCCGAATTAGAACGAAAGTGTGTCTATTATTTTTGGTATATTGTCGAGGTGAATAACGTCCGCGCGCATATTGGAAAGTGCTTTCTGGTGTCGGTCGGCGTCGTTCGTTCATTTCAATTACGCATCCTTTATGGCGCCTCATCAACACTGTTTCGTATGTCGCGTCCATCTGGAGGGACTTAGATGATTTGAAATCACACACTCCACATGAGTAGGCCCTCTCCTGCGTGTGGATTCCAGTGTGTTTATCTAACGAAACACCCGAGCTGAAACCTCTTCCGCAACGTTGAGCTATATGACTTTTTCGCCGCAAAATTTTGGCGTACTCAATTAATCCAGCGCGTTCACTGGACACCAGCTGATCCCAGTGTTGCTGTATCATGTGAAATTTCTGCCTTCGCGTGACCCGAACTAAGGTGGACAGATATCACATTCATATGACTACCGGTTCCAATGCCTTTCAAGGTGCGGACAAGAATACCTGGGAACTTGAAAGCTTCTTGAACACTTCAGACGCTGATGGGAAGCCGTGGGTTTTTAGGCATCGGTTTGTACCCCAATTGCACAAACTTTCCAGTATATGATTGATTTTAGATGTTGTGGAAGTAAAATCGGCTACTGCATCCTCTATAGTTCCCTGTTTGTTAGCAGCTAATGAAAAACATGGGTTGTTACAAAGTGTGGATAAACCGAAAGAAATTTACCACATCTATCACGAGTCTCAAACACTGACACAAATGGACGTGCACAGCTGGAGGAACAGCCGGTTCCTTGTCTTTGATAATAGTCCACCTCTTACCACCCGTGTTTTGCAGCAATTAATTTGCCGTCAGTGATGCACATTAAATTAGTTTGAAAACAATACTTAACCCACCGTTTGTTTCATCCATTTATTTGACCAGCCGTGTTCTATAGAACTCAAACGTCTGCTTGGTGAGGTGTATCAGCCCAGGTCAAGATTAGGCTCCTGAGATCCGGACTTGAAAAATGATATTCATATTCGTTATTATGTAGCACGTCTTTTTTTCAGAAGACAGAAACCGCTTTGAAAATCACCTTCAAACTGTGAACCAGTGGTTATGAAATTTTGGCGTGCGGACAAGATTTCATGATTTCGTAAAAAATAATTTACTCACTCATAAGCGTGGAAAAGGATGAAACCTGTGTTCTCAAATTCACGCATCCTTGTGCCTTGCCGGCCTGGTGACTGGAGTTATCAAGAATCACAAGCGACTGGATCAAAACCCAAGTCTTACAATCGGGAACTAAATTCATCGGCAAATTCTAGTATTAGCATACATGGTTATTACATGTCCTATAGCATAAAACTGACCGAAATCCGTCAGCAACCAGAAAATTCCAATCGTTTGAGTAGACGACGTATAATAATTTATTTGCGCTATCTAGTCCTCACAAACTGTGATGGCTCGACTAGCCTACTTGGGTGGACCAGGTGATGCCCCTCGGTTACCAATGCTCAATTGGACGTTAATTTCGACTATTCGTAAAACGTAAGCTATGGCTACACCAGCATTCGCGAAACTGAAATTCGCAACAGATTTTAGGAAAATTGGGAACTTACTGATAGGTGCATACACATGGGTGAGATTTTCGAGTGCGCCTAGTGAAGAGGAAAAACGGTGTAAAGGTTAAAATGGTCAAACATGATTCACTAATACAAACATCTCTGCGGGTTTGTCTGAAAACTGTTAATGGTACCGTATCACCATAAACTAATCACGCATAAATGCTTCAAGGAAAGTATTCTGAATGACCTTTTGGGACGACCACATGGTCAAATTACACTTATCTCCGCAGCCCGATTGGACAATGACAAGACCCATGAATAAAGGAACCATACACACTCTCATTTTAATATGCTTGTCGAAGGCTCGTCTGGTAATTTACACGATAAACTAGCTCACACAACGTTAATTCAATGCTACCCAATCATTTTGAGCTCCTGCTCTGTCCAATCATATCGATCCAGATGTGAAGGCGGTGAACAGGAATGGTTAAGGCCTTGGCAAGAACAGATAGTTTATCAAACCAATATCACACACCTTTTAAACATTACCTGGGGAGAGGCGAACACAAGCTTGAGAAACAAAAGTTAGAGTGGCTTCTCGTGTTACACAGAACGATACGAGCGGGAAATGTAATTCGCAATCCGCAAATTTCTGAGCAGTTTTATCTGACTGCATTCAAACTATCGTAATGCTTTTCGCTCTAAACGTATGGTCAAGTTACAACCATCACTAGGCTGCCGTGTTAACTCCCCACATTATGTCAGATATGCCTAGCGCAGAATACAAAAAAGCGGCAGCCTGAATAGTGTATGTTAGCTGTACGATTACGTAAAACTTTCAGCCGAAAATGTGGGCATCAGTTTGTTGTTCTCCGTGTTCGTTAAGTTAAGTGGAATACGGCATTTATGTCTTAAAATCACACATCACAACTCCTATTTTCCTTTATAAATTTCTTATCTCCCTCATATAAAATGGAAACATTAAAGCTTATCCGTTTTGATGTTAATGTGAGAATATTTAGAAATTTTAAGATAAGTTTGTTCATATCACCGAACGCACTTTCTCCTGGAAATCCGGATGGCCCCAAATTACTGTATTATTTCTTCCCCAATACTCACCCGCTGTGTATACCTCACTACACTCAAGTGATTCGCCAGCTTTTTGCGATAAGCGGCTGATTGCCGGCGTCATTACGTCTCTCTCACTATCGCTGATTATCGAATAATGGAATCCACTATCAAGGTCATTTTTCCAGGTTCCGACAGACTCAGATGTGAGTTTCACTGACACCGTGAAACTTATATATGTTGATGGTGATGAAGGAGGCAGTTTCGAAGTTTTTGTGCAGTTGCTGAAGCAATTATCTGAGTACAAGTTTCGTGCGATTGGTTCCAATGTTGCGTGGCTTTGCACAACTTGATTTTTTCTTACTTTTGCGTCGGAACAAGATACATTATACATATGTTGAAAAATCCACGTAATGTAATTTTGCCACCGAGCTATTTCGTTAGATGTCTTAACGAGTAACAAAAATCCTTCGAGTTTAAGTTATTGCTTAAAAATTAGTGTTAACTTTGGATACTTCGAGTTTCACTCACTATGCACTGTTACGTATTTCTGCTTCATGGGTCTGCCCAAAGCCTGGGTAGCTCAAATTTCGGTGTGAAAATGAACCGGATTCCTACAATGTCCACATCGTATGTTCATGCTCCATGCCACTGCAAAACGTCTATGTAATTTCAAAGTGGAGGTATTTGAAAGATTGTGCTCAGTGAGTTGCACTCCACAAAGGGTCTCCTCTCTGCCTCCCCTACTGTAATCCATGATGAACAAATCGGGATCAAAGTGGTCAAATAAAAGTAGCATGTGCAGTTGGTTGTAGTCTCATTCGACTCACATTTGGTCCATTAGCAAAGCGGACAGGAGTTTGGATTTTTCCCGACCAAACCAGCTGAAGCGGCCAAAATTGGACTCATCAACCTGCTCTATCCAGATGTTATCTATCCTAGTATAGCGAGGATTACCACCCGGTATTATTTTCGGGATTCCTAAAAATTAGACTTACGAATATATATTCCGAATCAATACAACTGCAATCCCGCTAACAGCTTACTCACTGTAGTAATTGGTGCCTGTGACTGCGAAATTCATAGAGGCAATTGTATTTACCTAGGCGGTTAATCAAAGATTTCCATTCCTTCTCGCGATGTCCATTTTGGTTACATTACTCCTGAACGCTGTTTCCATCGTTTATGTTGCGAAAAATGTGCTTTCCGTTGCTGGACCCCTTACTATAAGGAATATCGTGCTAGTGTTTATGCTAGACATTCTACGCTGTCCTGCTCACTATTCAGTGTGATATTACTATGACAGTAAATTAGACTGTCGTAGCCTTCAAACTATATGACTCTTCATTGAACCCACCGAGCGTGCACCCTTCAATTTTGCTCTATCTTTAAAGTCCGGATGATAAATGTTGCCGACTTTCACTGAACGCTGCTCAGTTGAGTTGGAAAAATATTTTTCCCACAGTTATGATTCCAAAGCCATATATATGACCACTGCCTCACTCTACTCCCACTTTCGTCGTGTGTCTGCATATTCACAATTTGCCATTGCAACCTCATTTCATTGGTATCAGTCACATGGCGAGGACAAATCAGCAAATGCTCTACTACAACCGACTGATAGGGCTCCAAATTTCAGAGTAACATGCAATGCTCTGGAGTAAACTTTGCGTCTCTTGATCCGATCAATGAACTCGTTGCTATCCTCTTCCCCTGTGAAAATGTTCATTGTCACGTCAGCTTCAGGAATGAACACGTTTGGGATAGTGGGTGAAGCACATATTGCTGCTGCACTGTCGGCAGAAGCTAGTACATCACCTCCCGGATATCATTCTCGTCTGCGTTGTCCTGCGCGCGATTCCTGTCATGCCTTGAGCTGGTGTGTCCGCCATTATCACGCCTTCTGTTTCGGACTTCCAGGACCCTTCAAAAATACGACTGGCGAAATACAAACAGAAGAATATCTCGCTTTCGCCTTTGTTTCTGCATCCTAGGGACTAGTCTGCACAAATTTCGGTGTACCCTTGAGGAGGTATCCTGGAGGATCCTTCAGGCAATCATTTAGCCATTTGTTTATTAATCAGCGACCCATCAGCAAAAGCTGGTGGCTCAGCCAAACGAGTTTCGACTACGACTGTGCATAAAAGGTCAATTTTTTTATTTGGCCTGGTATTTTGAGAGTTTGATCAACTGTTCAAATGCCAATTGGATTTTTCAGATTGCATAGTCTTGGCACGCATTTAGCTTCACCTACAGCTGACAAATATACAATAATCAATTTCGGGGATTGGTTGCTCCAATTCGAGTCAGAATAACGCAATCTCCCGAAAAAATCAGTCACATGGATGGTAGACCCGAAGGGTTTCAACCATATTTGGAATAAATTTTCAGCCGGTTGTATATAACTGGTGCACCTCTTTCCTGCGCCAGGAAGATGCCAGTGATGACCGGCACGGACGCTTCCTACGGATAGAAGTAGGTTTGAGTAGTGCAACTCACCGGTAATTCCGTATGTGTGAAGATTACTAAGAGAGCCACGATTGTCAACGCCTAACAGCTAACGATCCACAGTGTTTGCAGTGTCGGATGTGAACTTCCGCGAGTGAACGCAAAAAAGTAATAACATTAAGAGATTGGACTAACTGTCACTCTGGAAAATTGCGTTCTGGCCGTTCCATGAACCGCTTCATCTAAATGTGAGGTATTCGTGTGAGTTAAATATTCCGTCTTCCTTTATCTACATCCTGGAAATTTTCTATTTATCTACTTCTCAGTTCGTACTCGGAATCTGGACAATCGTGAAGCACCCTTGACGTCGTCGATCAGCAATTTCAGGGACCGGCTCACTTTATTTCTGTATATAAGTTCGTTGCTGTTGTTGTTGTTGTTATTGTTGTTGTTGTTGTTGAAATTCGATTGATTGCCGCGTGGAACCCTCAAAAGCAGTCTCTCAGTGGTCTCGTGGGTTTGAATTTTCCAAGCATTACAGGAAGTTGATTAGGAAACGTGCAGCCGTGCGGGTTTCAGCCGAAGGAATATTCGTTGGGATTAGGTAAACAATTAGTCAACGTTCCTGTATCCTTCAACCTACAACCTGTTTGAACGCTCTGCAATGCATAATTAGTGAAGCTCTTCATTTTCCTTGCGATCCGGTGGCCACTGGTCAAATGCCTTTCCACCGCAGCTTGATTTGGTTCTCAATATAGCAGTCTGGTCAGCTATCTTCGCAGTGCGCCTACAACGGCAGAGAGCATTTGGAACAGTATATTTAATAAAGAGTGGTAAATGATGTCACCTGCGAAATATCCCCATAGCAATGTTCTTGTTTTACAAGATATGCTGAATTTGTACTAATCCAGGGAATATCTATCATATTCCCACATTCTCAACGCAATCTAAATAGCCTACCCTAATGAACGAACGTAATGTTGTCGCATGCGGTCATCAGTCGTAACCGTGTTATTTATAGTTTCCGCGCCAATGTCCTTAAATGGTTGCTGAGATGCCGAGTTGTCTGCTGACAGGATTCGGGTGACTTGCATCTTTAGCCAGGCTGCTTAATGGCTCAGATATTTTATCAAACACCTCTTCTCATCAAGTTAACGTCCTTAGAATTTGATGGATACCTTAGGCTTGTATGACATTTGTTGGCGATGATATTGATGCTTGGCCCAACTGTTGCGCAAGAGAGTCGGTATCGAGTACACTCAAGACGCGACACTACCCGCAGCACTTTGGCCACTGTGAGGTGCGTGAATGCGGACAATGAATTTGCGTGCTTGGACAAATGTTGGAAGCACCAGTGGATTCAAAACCCTTGGGGTATTTTTGCTTATATCGTTTCAGTTGAAGGGTCAGGGAATCAGTGTATCGAGTTGTAGAAGAGTGGGCGGGAAACAGCGAAGTACTCAGCGTAACCCCGACAAATGGTCGCTTTGTCTAAGTTGCTCGTTAACAGCAGTGCAGTAGACAAAGCGCTTGCTGTGTTCAGCGAGCTTTTTCTTTGCGTCACGTTCAGTGGCAGAGCCGGATCAATCTAGCTGTAATGGACAAACATTTGGATTACGCAATAGTGAATGCGCAATATTGACAGAATATTGTAGGATGGTGCACTTCAACATGGGAAATTTCGCCAACTCTTTCAGTCTGCTTAAGAACTTGCCCACATGGCTTTCTCCAAAAATGAAACTCGGTCCAATGTTGCCACTCCTAAGTAGGATCACTTCACTTAATACCAGTCATCTTTATGCGCGGCCGATCAGTTTCTTTCACTAGTCAGATTTTCACCAGCCTCACCCAGCCTTCCGGAATATATTGAGATTAACAAGCACCACTAGCCTTTAACACTCTTTCGTTATGTCGATCTTCTGCTTACAGTATTTTTATCAGAAAAAATTAAATTTTAAAGTTACTTTTTGTTGACATTCGGGCTTTACTGCAAGCTCTCAAGGGACTGAAAGGAGGCAGCAGCCTAATTAAGGTAAGAGGAGCGTGTAGTGCTCATCACCACGGCTAGAGCGCTTTGCCCGTATGTGATGAATTACTTGCAACCAGAGAAAACTGCGCGGACGATATGTTACATTCATTTGCGTCATGTTTCTCATTTTGTTTGTATGGTTACACTGGTGGTTTAGAATGCACCAGTAGTCAAAGTTCTGCTGCGGTACACTATTTGTCTCAAGAAATGTCACTGAAGTAGAGAATGATCGTTTTTCTTGTTGATTAGTTGATGTGTTGCTAGAAACCAGCCAAGACCAATCCTACATTCATGCGCGCTTTACGACCCGGGTAGTTCCTTATCGTGAATGATCCCTCATCATGGTTAGATGCAGCCAATTAGGGGACGAACGTGCAATGAAAATTTTGAGCGGGAATTGTGGACACTCTCAGAAATGGTCCTTGCCGTTAACCATTTGATGGTGGGGGATATCAAGGCTTTTACAGAGTACTATGTAGACGTTGCGTAGGTTGCTGGATTTGGGACAGGTCATGGTGGCCTAATTAACTGGCGGAGTATTTAAGTGAAGGAAGTGAGTTACATAATATATTTCAAGCTTTGCCAACTAAAGAAGCGATACGGAACCATGGAAGATCACCCTATGGAAATTAGTCCTGCATCTGATATCGGACAATTATGGTATGGTAACACGGGCTGCGTTCCGGCGACAGCCAGTGGACAGGCAAACATTGTACTAACTACAAAACAACTCTCTAGCCGAGCTGAGGAATCAGTCGTACCAACTCAACGGACGTTGACAATAGGCAAAATGTTCGTATCGTGACCAACCAAGGGGAATTATTCTAGTTTGTAGGGATTTATGTATGCAGGCATGAATCGTTCAGCATTCGGGCCCTTCCTGTGTGTTACAATTATAGGGCGGATACCACCGTTCTAGTATTTGTACATCCTTAATCTGTGTGAGACTGCTAGAAACTTTGGACCGATTTAGAACTACTAACCTACCGTTGAGTACGCGTAAAACAACTTTGTTTTTGACAATGCGCTACTCTACGTTGCACTTGGTGTAGCTGGTTTCATCCCGTTCTCGCTGGAAACCTTGTAGGTTAAACGGTGCAAAACGTTTGATTGCTATCTCTTGTTTAATAACAATATAACGTGCATATATGTTGTGCTGATAACAGGCAAGCTGAAACACCAGCTGTCTAGCCTCCTCAAAATTTTAGAGACGGCTTGCCACCCACTGTTACATGAACAGAGTACACAGATTGATGAAGGTGATTTGCGTATTCCAAACTGATAACGTTTTTTATTTCGCAGCCGCGCCATCTTTAAAGGTAAAACAATAATACCGTTAACCAATACGAGCAGAGTGCACTTAGTGCACATTAGTTGCCGCAAAATTAAAGGGACTGGAACAGCTTTTTGGATCTCAACGACCACGCTTTTGAATAATGAATTTTGCCAAACTCAACACATTGAGTCGGCTGTGCAGTCAAGCAAAACATTTGAAGGCCGATCTTTCCGTTAGGTATTCATCATACAATCTATCCCGTTTTATTGTCTAACAATTGCTGTATGTGGAAATTACTTTACAGCTGCGGCTAACTGCGTTCAACGTTGACTACAGGTCGGTGGTGTGATTACTGGGTAGGTACCTAACACACTGCATATAATCCGGTATTTTAGGACATTATACAAGCCACTGAATCATCAGGTTCAAGATCCGCTCGGATTCTCCATGTAATATGACAAAATCGACGTCCATTTATAGGACTATGAGAAGAGTACACAGGTTCATACATCTTCTGTCTAGGTGTCCCGGGAATCTCTATAGTGTTGTGCCTCCGACTCTATTCGAATTACCCGTCTGGTCCAAAATAACTGCCGCCAACAATGCAGTTCGGCATGTCGCCTCTATTCACACTTACCTCCCTGGATCCACCCTATGGCAGGTTTTCTGGCGTAATACCCAATATCCCGGGCGCAAATTATCAGCCTCCTGATGCAGAAGGCAATCAGCAGGGCGGCGCTTACTTCCCATTACGCGTCATGTCATCCTGACATACTCTAGTGGACAGTGTGCGCAGCGCGCCTTCGCTTAGCTGTGATCTAATTATTGATCTACAGAAAAGGTCTGTCTCAGTGTCAGCGTGGAGCCTCTGTATAGCAGACGGGAACGATACATCTTTGCGTTTAAGGCGACCGCCAAACATTACATCCAAATGGTTTGATTCTTGTGTTCATCGTTTTCCAGCATACGCCTGACATATTCATTAAATCGTTTGTCCTGCATCGGGAGTGCCCCGACGCCCCAGACAGTAGCCTAAGATGTGCCAACAAATGCCTCCCAGATCACGTTCAATTTAAGCCTGTTTTATGAGCTCAGAAGTAGCCCCTTGATCATTTTTAAAACCT